CACACACACACACACACCCCTCTCACAACACACAATATACACAAAATACAACAATACACAATATATATACACAATATAAACAATACACAATACCCTCAGAAAGCATCTCGGAGCATTCGTGAGATCAACAATTTTCCCGCGCAACCACTATCGACATCATGCTTTTAAGGGCTAGTTGAAAACCAGAAGGGCTAGTACAAACCTTACCTTACTAGCCCTTCGGGCTAACTTGCATATTATCCTTATTTCTACCCCTGAAAGCCTATCATAGATTTTACATCTGTATTAAGGCCTGTCTCCACACACGCGGCGCGGCGCGGCACGGAACGCCACGGAAACGGCGTCGTTCACTCCTACCGGCAAAGTTCAAATCTATTATATCTTATGGCGCAGTCTCCACTGACACGGCACGGCGCCAGCCGGGTTTCACGGCGACGGCGAAAGTCAAATTATGAGTTTGACTTTTGCCGGCTGACGTGACAGCGAAAAGACAATTGAACCAATCAACGCGATTGTTTTTTATCACGTGTTCTGCTCACGCTACCATCAGCCAATGGACAACAAGCACATGTATGCATAATTTCTGATCACTGAACCAGAGTGAACACAATTCGCTCAGACACAATGCGCGAAATCACAATGTATTTTTTTTCAGCACAACGGCACTGCGTTTTGCTGTGTCGTGTCGTGTCGTGCCGCGTGTGTGGAGACATAGCTTTAGTAGTATCTTAGATATATGCTCTGGTCCCGAACGCGGTGGCGGGAGGGCGCACTTGATTTGGTTGCCAGTGAATTTATCAGAAGAATACCCGGCTACAGTACACGTCAGTTGAGCGGTGTCGCTCTGCGGCACTTGTTTGAAATACAAATGAATTTGTTATCTTGTAAGTATGACAAGGAAGTACTATTTAGGACTATTGTCATGTCAGTATGTTTGTCGCCTGTATTTCTACTAATAGTTATTTTCAATCAATTTCCAGATTTCTTGTTGGGGAGAGTCTACATCAGTAATAACGATCAACATCAAGAAAGTGAAAATGCCTCTTCAGCGACAAATACCTAATTTTATTCTGAAAAGCACCAGCAAAATTTCTTTAAATGAGCGGTGAGCCATGAGGCCATGTCCTCAGTCAGCATATTGCTGGCAGTAAGATAGATATGAGCTATGTGCATGTTCTGGGTGTACTATCAGTACATTATACCCCATGCTAGCACATGCAGTGTCACTTTGTACGTCACAGCATGATGCAAGAGAGTGCATATACATGCAGTAGTCTGTCACTGCTCACAGTAGCTAAGGAGTAGCTATATATATATACTCTACAAGCAATGATTAATTCCAGCAACTTGGCAATTTTGCTAAGTCACTGCCATTGTCCAATCTTGGTACCTGACAGGTGACCAGAGATGTAAGTGGCATAGGCATGGCAAATCTATTCGTTAAAACCAATTTCACTGTCCGGATTGTCTATTGTGGCAGTCGTAAGGGGCATGCGAAGTGGTGGAGACGTAGTTTTCCCTAATCAGAACTAAACGTTTATAGTTTCTGTTATAGAATTTTAGTGTAGGAAACTTTATTTCCTTTACGAACTATCTTGATGTATAGTTACCAATAGTTCATAGATGTTTGGGAGTTATATGTTCTTCCCTAGGAAGTGTATTTAATAGTCAGATGCAGCTTGTAGAATTGCATGAGCGTGCGTCCGTCCGTGCGTCCGCCAAGAGTTGGGCACAAATCTAAACGGCTCGACGTACGGTCACGATATTCGGGACGTGGGGGGGGGGGTAATCCGAAAACGAGTTGGGATGTTGAAGCTGGGGGTCAAAGGTCAAAGGTCAAGAGAAGGGGTGTAAAAGAAGGGGGAACATTTCCTCCTTAACATAAGGTATAGGGAGGAAATGCAGAATTGCGGCACAAATCTAAACGGCTCGACCTAGGCTCGTGATAGTCGGTGTATAGCATCATGGTAGGAAAAGCCATCACTGTGCCGAAATTGGAGGTCACAGGTCAAAGGTCAATGGGGGCACAGGGCAGATTTCAGACATTTTTTGAGGACATGGTCTGACAGAGCGATTGAAAAACTTTTTTGTTTCAGCGGTGACCTAGCATTTTTATGGCTTTATTGAAAGGACCATGAAATGTACTTTCCGCTGACATGCGAAGAGTAAGTGTCGGATAACTTTTTGACCCTGAAGAGGAGGGTTAAACATGGATTTGTTTACTGTTAGAAATAATTTGACTGCCGGGTTTGCTAGTAGAATCTCTATACATGCCTGGACGTATAAGGCTACAATGTGACACTGAAATTTCAAAAGCTAAATTTAAGAAGGTTTATGTTCTTTAAATCGTATAATTTCTTATGGCATTCGTACTGTCAGTGTGTTACAATGTAACCTTTATGCCACTGCCAGTGGCATGTGTGTGATAGTACTGTGTTAGTTTTTGCCTGCGTTAATTAGCTTACAGGTGGCAGCTCTCTATTCAGCCTGTAGGCTTGCGTAGGTAAATGGATACCTATTCTGTATTGCAAATAGTTGTTGCTACTACGTACGATGGGAGCTTCCATCTTTAATCTTAAGACACTTAAACGTACGCGCCATCTCGTGGCAACTTTCATAACGATCCCAACGTCATTCCTTCGAGAAGGTTCCTGATACCATCCATGTGCCTTCCACTGTTTCGGCACGTAGGTGAACACATTTGGTACTAACAGGGTTTACTAGAATCCTACCACTCCACCACAGAGTCACCACAGTAGACGTGAGATGAGCGCTGTCGCTCCGCAGCACTTGTTATTTATAGAAGTTGCCCTGGTCAGCAGGTTGATATGTTTGTCAATTTAAGTTCATTTTTGTGTTTAAAAAGTAATCTGTTTGTGCATCTTGTAAGTGACTGAAGTTGTGTGGTTCCATGGTTTACTTTGTGTTTCACTTAAGTTCTGTAATCATGCTAGATCATCTATGTACTATAGCTAATTTTAGACTCAAAATCCTTACTTTGAATATTTTCACTGCTGAGTTGTTGGAATCGCTATGCCAGCATTGGTGTCAGAAAGACCAGATACCAACGAAATGTAATGAATACATGGTCACTGCTAGAAAATGTTGATGCTTGAATGATGGGATAGATCCTGCTGGTTTGATAGTTTGGCATTGTAAACATGAACTCTGCACCACTTGAAGATTCTCCAACCTAAGAAAGAGTCCTGTGGTGGCTCAGGCATCTGTGCAGAGGGTGCGCCAGAATGCCCAACAGCAATCCGTAGCATCGGTGCGCAACCGTCGCCTCGCCCAACAAATGGAAAATCGTCCAAGTGTAGTCCATGCACTAAGAGGACGGGGAAAGGTAAGCAGATAACACTGTAAGTTAACCTGTCTGTTGCAAGGCATGTCTTAGCTTTAATACACACAAGTTCGACTCTGTGATGTTTTATGCACCTAAAATAAGTCGCCAGTTCCAGTTGATCATAACAACAAAATGATAAAAAAATTAACATTCAATGGCGGTGCAGGTTTGATATGTTGGTTAAGCGTCTCAGGGTTCTCTAGGAATTTTTTTAAAAAGAGTTGTCAGTGGACGGATGGGGTTGGGCTTGAGAGCGTGTTCTAAACGCAGTTAATTACGCATGTCATAAGCGGCCCCAATACACAGATACAATATCAGTTCGGATACATACATGAAGCTCTGAAAACACAGAATGACTGTTTGCTTGTGTTGCATTTTATGTTTGCATGTGTTGCATTGTTGATTGTGTTTGGATGCATGTGTTGGAATTGTGAAAAGAAAAACGAGCTGGAAATTCAGGCGTGTTAATTAGGCAGTTAGAGCATGTTGGAGGACTAATGAGATCTTGCACATTAGTTTCAGCTTTAAAGAAATGTGAGAGCCAACATGAATTAAATTTAAAATCTTGGAGAGAACCCCGGCAATAATGATAATAGATTTTCTTTTGCACTGCAAGCAACTGATTTACACGCCTTACATTTTGAATTGTCGTTCAATAATCTTGTAATTAGAACTTTAAAGATTTTCCTACTCACCTAAGGGATGTGCCTGCTAATGCTATTTCGTTTGGGGCATGTAATTTTGCGTGATAATGGGGCCAAAACTCATGTTTATTTCCTGTTAAAACTCTGGATCTGGTAACAGTCGAAACTTGAAAATTCAGATGTGATGCACCCCTAATGACAATTGACACATGATAAACATATGTTTATTAGCAATTTGTGGCAATTGGTGTAAGTTTGAGAACACTGTAAAATAGGAACGGTTTGTGAAATTAAAAACAATTAAAATCTAATTGAAGTGGCTACCCTGTTTGAGGAGTTTATAATGTAAAAGCAAGCTCTTTATATGCAAAACTATTCATTTTTAGCTTATCTGACGAAGTCAGATGCAGCTTGTAGAATCGCATGAGCGTGCGTGCGTCCGTCCGTCCGTGCGTCAACAGTTGGGCACAAATCTTAACCGCTCGACGTACGGTCACGATATTCGGGACGTCGGGGGGGGGGGGATCGTGAAAAAGACTCGGAATGACAAATTTGGGGGTCAATGGTCAAAGGTCAAGATGTGTAAACGGAGGTGGAATATTATACTTAACTTAAGGTATAGGAGGAAATACGGAATTGCGGCACAAATCTTAACGGCTCGACCTATGCTCTTAATATTCGGTGTATAGTGTGATGGGCAGGAAACCCATCACCAGTGCGAAATTGGAGGTCACAGGTCAAAGGGCAGTGGGGGAAAGGTCAGATATCAGACATTTTCTGAGGACATGGCCTAATGGACAGAGTGAAAAACTTTTTTGTTTCAGCGCTGACCTACCATTTTTATCACTTTATTGAAAGGACCATGAAATGTGCTTTCCACTGTCGTGCGAAGAGTAAGTGTCTGATAACCCTTTGACCCTCAAGAGGAGGGTTAAACATGGATTCCTGAACTGCCTCAATGAAGTCACAGTGTTGTCATATTCATGGCACATCCATAATCTAGAAACCCAATAAGCCTGGATAGCCGAACGCGTACAGCATGGGCGTCACGGCTGAAAGGTTGTTGGATCGAATCCCATCTGATTTTTTATTATTCACCTGTTTTCTGTATTTTTCTATCTTTATCCATTTAACTATTTTTTATCGCAATTAACAACAATTAACGCAAATATTTACATAATTTATTTACAACAATTTAATAACAACAAATAATGTTTACAACAATTTTGTTTAATTTTTTTTAATAGGGTTAGGGTTAGGGTTAGGGTCACAATGCATCATAAAACGGGAGTTTCAGGCACGCGATTTGTATCAACCAATGGGATTTGGGAGGTATGCAGAATGCAGAAGGTTGCTGAAATAATGTGTACGCAACTGCGTATCTGCATATCTGCCGCTAACAAAGGTGTCACTACGCACGACTTAAATGTTACGTTTATAACCGTAGCAACAGACCTCAGATGAGCCCAGACGCTCTGCGGCTCTTTTCTGTAAAGTCATTTATATAATTTAATTTGGTTGTTTACTCTTCAGGTTCAGAGCAGACTTGGGAGCACTGGAAATATTAAGTCCAGACTGACCTTGCCAGCAGGAAGAGGCCGTGGTGCAGTGGGTGCCAGGAGGGGTATGCGTGGTGTTGGCAGAGGTAAGAATGTGAATACAGTAACTTCTTACGTAGGAGAACTGAGGATTGTTAAAAAATTAGCATAACATTTGAAACATTTGCATACTGGATGATTTGGGCTTTTCCAGAAATAGGATTTGTAATGTGTTCTTGTGCAGCGCTTGTTTAAATGTCTGATCTTTGTCTCCCGAGCCTTATTTGAGCTTGGCACTTAACAGCCTAACATACACTACACATTAAGACACTACTGTTTCAGAAAAATAACCATTTCATCTACTGTTTATATACCTCTTGGTGTTTATTCTTTTATGCCTTGCAGAGATTATTTTATATATAACAACGAGCAATCGGAGATAGCAAACCTCCGCCACAGCTTAACAGTCCCCCCATATATCTATATATAGCTATCGATCTAATTTGTAGTCGGGTTTAACGTGGTGGTGACACATCATAAACCCCTACAGAGAAAGCGAAATGAAGCGAAGCAGTTAGAGAGTAAACCGCTACACTACCATCAATGATGAGAAATCCTTCAAAAAATTTCTGGATCTGGATCCGGATCACCACCAATATCTAATCGATTGGTTCTTGGCTCAAGACCAACCCATCCAAAAAATTTCATCAAAATCCGTCTGTAACATTTTGAGATATCCTGTTGACAGACAAACAAACAAACAAACTAACAGGGGCAAAAACATAACCTCCTTGGCAGAGATAATGAAAATAAAAACAACACAAGTTATATGGTAGAACCCTGCTATAACATATCCAAAATTGTGATATTGTATTTATTGCAGGAGCGATGAGAGGTGCAGGTGATGCTGTGGGCCAGAGGGGAGGCTTGCGTGGTAGAATGTCTGGATATTATCCACGTGGTGTTGCTCGTTTCGGTGTCGGCAATCGGGGCAAGTGTCTTCGTTCTTTCTTTGTCTTGTTTCTTTGCGTGTGTGTGATTGCATGTTTAGCTGGCTGTGTGTAACATGTCTTGGGCAATATATCTGTATATGGAGGTTCCAATTAATCGAGTTCACTGAGTATGTTTTGCTCAAGCTTCCCACTTGAGTAGAAATTTCATGATCATCTATTAGTTATTCACGTCATCACGCCAAGCTAGGAATGCCACCTAGAACTATGAAATGGGAAATTTTTTTAAGACAATAACAAAATTTAGTAGACAATTATAAATTGAATAGTTTTTAATTGCTTTCAGTTACTTGTTGCATTTGAGACACATTAAAGAGGACCAGTATTATAGAATTTGAGTGTATTGTGATAGTTATTTCTTGAATATATCATAGTATTTATGATGTAATTTCTCAAAAAAATTATTTGAGATTTGGTATATGAACATGGCGGTACATTTTCTGACATTATTGATATGGCTATGAAATTACCATCTAAATAGTAGCAATGTATTGATCTTTAGATGCCAAGAGACTAAGTCAACTTTTTACATAATTTCTATAGGAAGAGGATCAGGTTTTAGTCGTGGTCGTGGCTATGCTGGTGCTCAGGTTACAGTCCATAGTGGAACTTGGTATGTGGGTTTTCTTAAAATATATATTGTTTCTATGCCTAAAATATCAGCAAATCATGATGTAAAAACATAAAATGGGTATTGATTATTGAAAGTAGAAGTGTAAGTAATGTGTTAGTAAGTATTCACGTTTGAGTGCACATTATTGATGTTGATGGTAGAATAGGTTTCTCTTTAAGTAGCAGACAAATGCCTTTAATTTCAGGCATGAGAATTTTGTGTGGATTCCTATGGTTTGGAATTACAGTTATGTGGATCATGAAGAGGTTGCAGCATAGGGGGGAGGTGGGGTGAGCGTTTTGTATAATTTCTGATTCTCACACCTGTTCATAATATCCATATATAGTTTGAAGCAAGCCTGTTGCATAGCCGCGTGATGAAAATTACATGCCCTTGCTTATCTCTTTAGGACGAGAGGAGGAAAGGTGGAAAATCGAGGTGCATTCAGAGGCGCTACAAGAGGTCGGGGTCGGGGAGGTATGAGAGGCGCGGGCCGCGGAGGGCGAGGAAGAGGCCAGAGAACAGACATGAGCCGGGAGCAACTTGACACGCAATTGGACGCATACATGTCGAAAACAAAGTCGACGCTAGATGGCGATCTAGATCTGTATATGGGCACTTTGGACTAACGGATGAGCTTTACAGTTACTGTGTAGGTAATTTAATAAATATTAATCAATAATAATTTCAATAAACTTGATTCATATGCGCTCATTGATATATCCCATCGTTGTTATACATTGTAAGCATATTTGGCATATGTTTGCAGAATAACCACTTTCAGCCATGCAATATATCTGAAGTGTGGAAATGTGTGAACGAATAACTAGAGCATGAGAGGAGAGAGGGAGAGAGAAAGAGAGGAGGGGAGCGAGAGAGCTAGAGTGTTGCCATTTTGTATCGAATAAGACACAAATAATAATGTTTGTGATTTTGTCTGCAGTCCTAGCTTGCAATGAGAACTTGGGTTGAGTAGGGTAATAATGTTTGTGTAGTGACATTGTGTCGTATGTGATCTCTTGATTTGCTGCTTAATTCAGGTCACGGACGTCTTCATGTCATCGTCGATGAACCAGCAGGCGTGAACCCAAGTCATTGCTGCTCATATGAGAACTACTTGTTGGTGTATTTCTAGTGAGGTACAGCCGTGATTTTCACTAGATCATGATTTTGCATGTTTCTTCACAATGCTGGTTTTACGGACAGCAGTGATTTACCAGGTCAGTTTATCCTGTCCAGGTAAAGGGATGTTTGCATGCATTATACATGATTGTGTGCCTTGTGTATCTGTGTGGGTGAGACCTGCAGAGATGTGGATATTTGAAGACAATTCTCATTCCATTGGTAACAACATCGTCATGGAGTGTAATTTTTGTTGTTCACGCACATAGTATAGCACGTTTAACGAACAGGATATGAATGTCAATCAAAAAATGTCTGCTGTTTTACTCTATGGTTTATCCCAAGATTGAACGTATTATGAGAGAAGCTGATTAGCCTGTAAATACCTTCATATCGGCGTCTTTGTTTATTTGTTTTATCCTTTTATTGGAAGTGAGTTCAAGTGTACCATAGTGTAACAAACGCAGACATAAAACGCGAGTCAGCGAAGTCTTTTTAATGTGCACTATTCTAATTAAGACATAATTCGCTTAGAAAATCATTTCTGGCCATTTGCCGTATGTGAACCATCTTGCTTATATCATTCAAAGTGGCATCTTTTATAATAAAATGAACGTTTCCAGTATTTTGATTTTTTTAAATTCATCGTTTTTGACTGTAGAATTTTGACCATAGTTTTAGCATTTGTAAACCCAGCTTGCACCTAAAATCTCTTATCAGCTTGGATGAATTTTGTATAGCCTACTATGATGATCGCATAGTTTGTAGTTTTGTATCGTAACCGTTCCTGAATCACGCCACTGGGAACTGCTGGTCCCACTTGTTTCGACTGGTTGTCTATTAGAAAACGCAATGCTGCTGGCAGGCTCGCAGCGCAAACCGGCACTCACACTAATACACTACAGCCAGAGCTACAAGCAATAGCATACGTTTCACTCAAATAATACAGAAGTTAATTCATAAATAGAGATCATGTAGTACGCACGAACGCACATAGTTTAGCTCATAGGAAATCGGGTACGTCGCCGAATAAAATTACGCGTTGTGTGTGCTTGACAAGAAAACGAATCATCGCAAACCAGAAAATGTTGACAAAATATTATGGCAGGTGGCTGCAGTTGAGGCATATTTGAGGATATTTGAAGCCTGTGGTGATTACATCAATACATTTTTTTGATAAATGTCTTCAAACTGATACAGGTCCCAAGCAGGAGTCATGAATTTAATACATCTACAAATTTCTTTTTGTTTTTTGTTATCGTGTGCTGTATTATACAACGCGATACTAAGTACGAATAGCGCACAAATTTACTCGTCCGAACACACTCCATTTCACAATTTCGAAACAATCTTGCGGAAGACAACGTTTACTGGGGAGATTCGTGTTTGGGAAGAGCAGATAATTATCTACTCTAGCGACCAAGAGTTACAAAATACATGTCTCCATACATGATACATCTCTATGGCTAGGTGCACAGTGGTAATTCCTAAGGACTGATGGAATCATCTGAAGTTATGGACATTGCAATATATTGCTAGTGATGGGGCATAATTTCCTAGATAACATTAGAAAACTTTTAGCCCCATACACAAGATTGCTCATGTAGGACACACCGTCATCTTCCTGTTTCCCCCACGTCACATTGCTGTCGTATTCTCGCCAACAGATGGCGGTACTGTACAGGGTATATTTGGGTTCATTTATTATTAGCTCACCATGACATCGGCAAGATGAGCTATCACCATGGGTCGGCGTCCGTCGTACGTCCTTCCGTCAACATTTGGCTACGGTCAACGATAACTCAGTAACCGTTTGACCCACATGTTTGAAATTGGGTATAGTTGTTACTGCTATGGGAGAGGTTTGAACGTCCTATTTTGGAGCACGCCAGTCGACGTACTTTCGAGCCACGGCAATTTTTTTGCAAAAATGGAAATTGCCATTAGTCAGTTCAGGTTCAACGGATTTTGCTGATTTTTGGTATGTGAATGAATAAGGGCTGGCCCCAAAACGTATTACAGGGGTTTTGATATTTAAAAAAAATTATGCAAATTAGGTAGGTTTTGGCAATTATATAGCATATTATATAGACACGCAGATAACAGTCTGTGGTGTCACACTCGTCTGGTTCGTTTTACAAGATTTAATTGACAATATCTTTAATGCAAAATTGGTATTTCCTCTCCACCCTGCTGATAAAACGTCTATATTAGAGTAAAGTTTTACAAAACATGTCGGAACGCAGCATAACCTATTTATTTCGAATGCCATCGCTAAGAAACATCAAAGCGGGTATAGCGCCATCTACCGTCACAAACTGTGATTCATTTTGGTTTATAAATTATTATTGCGATATACAGATGGCAACCGTGTGCTACCGCCTAGAAAGACTCATACAAAGTAAACACTTCCATGCAACCAATTAACCTTTGACAAAAGTTGTGTTATGGGCAGGGAAACACCATTGTCACGTGGTATATAGCAGCTACGTGGAATAAGCGTATCCTCTTAATCTTACACATTACACACCGGGAGCTCCACTTTTAGGCAGTGCCTAAAGCTGAATATTATAAAAACGTTAAATGGCGATCATTTAGGTGTAACGCTATCACTCGCCCACATCTCAGACTTTCACATCTCAAACATTTATTTTCACATAAAAAATTACACATAATTATCAAGAGTATATAATGGGAGTTCTCCCATATATACTCTTTGTTTCTATAATGTATGTCGATGGTTGCTCAATGAAAACTGACTCATTTGTGTCAATTTTAGCTCATCTGACATAGTCAGATGCAGCTTGTAGAATCGCTTGATCGTCCGTGCGTCCGTCCGTGCGTCCGTCCGTCCGTCCGTGCGTCCGTCAACAGTTGGGCACAAATCTTAACCGCTCGACGTACGGTCACGATATTCGGCACATTGGGGGGGATCGTCAAAACGAGTTGGGATGTCGAAGCTGGGGGTCAAAGGTCAAAGGTCAAGAGGTGTAAAAAGAAGGTGGGACATTTACTCCTTAAGCTTAGGTATAGGAGGAAATTGCCAGGAATTGCTGCAGCAAATCTAAACGCTCGACCCTAGGCTGCGTGATAGTTGTGTGTATAGCATCATGTAGGAAAAGCCATCAACTGTGCCGAAATTGAGGTCACAGGTCAACGGGTCAATGAGCACAGGCCAGATTTTTAACATTTCTGAGGACATGGGTCTACGGAGCGATGAAAAACTTTCTTTGTTCAGCGTGACCTAGTCATTTTTATGGCATTATTGGAAACGGTACCGATGAAATCCTACTATTCTGCTCGACATGCGAAGATAAAGTGTCAGAAACCTTTTGACCCTCAAGAGGAGGGTTATAACGATGGGATTTGTTTGACTGTCTGTTAGATAAGAATTTGACTGCCATGGTTTGCTAGTGTAGAATCTATACATGCCTGGATGTATGAGGCTACAAGTCACAGTGAAATTTCAAAAGTCTAAATTTGATAAAGAAGGTTTATGTCCTTACATCGTATAATTTCTATGGCATTCTGGTACTGTCAGTATGTTCACATGTAACGTATGCCACTGCCAGTGCATGATGTTATTCGTACTGTGTAGTTTTTGCCTGGCGTTAGATTGGTTACAGGGGGCAGCTCTCATATGTGCAGCCTGTAGGCTTGGCGTAGGTAACATGGATGAGTGCCTTACCTATCTGTCTTGCAAATAGTTGTTGGCTCTACGGTACGATGGGAGCTTCCATCTTTTAATCTGAAGACACTTAAACGCTACGCGCCATCTCCGTGGCAACTTTCATAAGCGATCCCACGAACATTCCTTTGAGAAGGTCCTGGATACCCATCCCTGTGCATTCCACTGTTTTCGGCGCGATGTATGTGAAACACCATTGGGACTAAAGGTTTTACAGGAATCCCACCACTCACGCACAGAGTCACCGCAGTAGACGTAGACTAGCGCTGTCGCTCCGCGGCACTTTTTTGTGGTGAGCTACAGTGTCATTGACACTTTGATTTAGGTATATCCAGGGGGTGAATAATGACAAATGATTCAATATTTCAAGTATTTGTATTTTTCAAATTTATATATAAATTATATGCGTTTTGTGTTTTTGTAGTTTTTAATGTATAAAAAATCGTTAAAAATCTCACCACACCAAACCAATGACCGACTGTGTGGTAGGCGATGCACTGGGGCTCTCCGAGCTCGTAGAGTAAAGAAGCTCACGTAAGTATATACTTCTCTGTCTGTGACTAGCGCTGACGTTATGTTCCATTTGCCAGACATCTCTGGTCAGGCGTGCGCGGTGTTAGAGTTTTAGTCACGTCTAAAGTTCACGTAACGGCTGTCTGTTCTAGATTTTTTAGTAATTTGGAATATAAAGAATATAATATGAATACAAACTCAGTTAATGCGACAAAATGCGAGTAATTACAAAGTAATCAAAAGCGATAAAAGACAATAGCGAAAGAGAAAAAAAATAAGAATATTTTTAATTACTATGTAAAATGGGAGTCAACATAATAAGTTCTCTAAGTTGGTACATGAAATCTATCCTTGAAATGTAACCCGAATGAATTTTATTTAGCGTTATTTCGTTTATCACCACATAAGCATGATATTTGGACTCGTATAATGTCGCCTGCGTACTTTGTCGATGCTCGTTAGTTCCCCCATAACAGGAAAATAATTTTTCGGTAAAAAACTCATTAAATAGAGTAGGCGGCCGCTCTTTTCGACTCGCCTCGTCCCAGCGGTCTAATAGCGCAGATGGGGTCGTTTTCGTATCAGGTACTACAGATATGTACCCGAGGTAGTTTTAGGTTGTTTAGTATTATCAGGAGTAAGATAATATAGGATCTATATTATCTTACTCCTGGTATTATGTTTATATTTTTATATTAGGTATGTTTAGGGTTAGGGTTAAGGTTAGGGTTAAAGTTAGGGTTAGTGTTAGGGTTAGGGTACACTTCTGTAGTACAAGTCTGGTACACTTTGTGTATACATATATGTACCTCGGATACATATCTGTAGTAGGCCTACCTGATACGACAACGACCCCTTGAGCTCTAATAGCAGGTGGTCGTGAATGACGCTAAATGTGCCAGCATAGATATAGAATACAGATTCCATATTCTATATTATGTATTCTGTATTCAGTATGTGTATGCTGTATTCTGATTCTGTATTCTATATCTATGGTGCCAGCTATCGCGTATCAGTGAAACCTGAAAAAAACACAAAGTAGGCCTATGTAGACGAATGAGCCTAAGACGGTCTCGTAGTCTGCGGGTATCGATTTCACAGTGTTCGCTATCTATGCCTGCTATACTATCACTATGTAGTGTAGATGTAGTGTAGTATAGTGTAGTATAGTATAGTTATGGTTTAACCCCGGTTTGAAAGGTGATTTTTATGCCAATCCGCCAAATTGCTAAGAAGCCATGTTTGCGTATTAATTTTGTGCTGCCCTTCCAAGATTCCATGCACTCGGTGGATGTGATTCCACGCGCAGTTTATTTCAAAACGGCAAAAAGGGCATTAAATGTATTTGTCAGTAAAGGTAGTGTCCGGCACCAAGTCTGTAATCTTGCTATTCCTGATCGATATATCTGCTTCGAATTCCTCCA